GCTGCTCCGGGAGCCGCGCCGGGAGCCGCAGGGGCTGCGCCGGGAGCCGCGCCGGGAGCCGCGCAGGGGCCGCGCCGGGAGCCGCGCCGGGAGCCGCGCCGGGCGCCGGGCAGGGAGGCCCCGGGTGCGGGATCGCCGAAGGCGCGGCGAGGCGCCCTGCAGACCGGGCTCGCGGGGGCGGCTCCCCCTGGAGCGCAGTCACCGCCCCGCGGAGGCCCCGCCGGAGCAGCCGTGGTCCCCGCTCCCCGGGCCCGTGTGGAGGGCGCCGGGCCGGTGCCCCGCAGGCGGGAGCGGTTGGAGACGCCCGACGCCGGGGTCCCGGAGCCAGAGGGGAAGGTGCCTGTGGGTCCCCATCCGCCCCCCGCACACCGGCTCTGGCCGGGGAGGGGGTCCAGGCCGCCGCGCGGTCCGTGTGCGGCCGCCCGTACAGCCCCGGCGCTCCCCGCTGCCGGCCGCGCGCTCCGCCGGGAGGGGGACGGCGCCACCTGGTGGCGGGACGGGCCACCGCGCTCACTGACACCGAGCCACCCAGGCATGACCAGGGCTCCCTGGTGATGGGTGAGTAGGAAGCAAGCCCAGCGGCTTTTCCTGGTCTTCCCACAGGAACCTCTCATCTCTCTTCACTATGTTCTTACCCAGAAGTGATAGTGTCAGTCCCATCGCCATTTTTATAAGCTTTCCTGAAGCGGTGACCCTGTACCTGGGACAGCTGCACCCGCAGAGCACAGTGTGAGCCCCGGTGAGGGGAGTCACTAAATCCCCAATGAGGGGAGTCACTAAATCCCCAATGAGGGGAGTCACTAAATCCCCAATGAGGGGAGTCACTAAATCCCCAATGAGGGGAGTCACTAAATCCCCAATGAGGGGAGTCACTAAATCCCCAATGAGGGGAGTCACTAAATCCCCAGTGAGGGGAGTCACTAAATCCCCAGTGAGGGGAGTTACTAAATCCCCAATGAGGGGAGTCACTAAATCCCCAGTGAGGGGAGTCACTAAATCCCCTGTGAGGGGAGTCACTAAATCCCCAGTGAGGGGAGTCACTAAATCCCCAGTGAGGGGAGTCACTAAATCCCCAGTGAGGGGAGTCACTAAATCCCCAGTGAGGGGAGTCACTAAATCCCCAATGAGGGGAGTCACTAAATCCCCAATGCTTCTATCGCCCCTCTCCCGCCGCCCCCAGGCTGAGGGGTCCCGAGCCGCCTCTGCGCCAGGACTCCTGAGCATTTTACCGCCCACACAGGCGGCCGTGGTTTGGTAAACAGAAGCAGTTAGAAAAGCTGTATGTGGTAAGTATAACTTTTTAAATTAACTTGTGCTCATAACCTATCCCATACCCAGGCTTTTACTTTGGAAGACTAAACGTGTAAGCATTTGGAAGCTTTATAAGTTTTGATAAGATTAAATGAAACGTGGGTTTGTTTCTTGGAAGGGTCGCGGGGAATACATTTTCTGTGTGTTTTCTTCCCTGTGACTGTTAGGGTGAAGTTCTGTCCACGCTTCTCGCGGCATTCAGCCTCGGGACTTCATGGCCCAGGCGGCAGGCAGTGCTGGCCAGCGGCTGGGGGGCCGCTCAGCCCCGACGGCCCTGCTCTGGCTCCGTGCTCGAGGCGCTGGCGGTGTGTGATGGGCTGGCAGTGTATTGTTAGCTGGTTGGTATGTGATGACATCAGCTAACATGCACCTGCTATCCCATTGCATGCACACGAGCATCGAGAACCACCAAACCTGGAATGTGTGTGGGCTGCTTGCTGGGCCAGCAGGGCCGCAGGGCCGGCACTGTGCTCGGTCACTGTTGTGCAGGCGGAGCCGCGTGGCGGGGAGCGACTCGGTGACTCAGACTGGCCAGGGGACGGTGCGGCGGCTCTAACTCAGTAGGCCTCAGCTTTGTCTTCGTTTCCTGTAACATCTCAGACTCGGACTTGGAAGTGAGCAGAGGTGTGGCTTGTGGAGTGCGTGCATGTGGGCAGCGGCTGCTGTTCCTAGAACTGACTGGTGGTCTGGGTGGGGGTTACCCAGGTGAGAGCGGAGGAACACGTCACCTTCTCTGCTGTGCTGGTGACATAACCTCCGTCCTTATTTACAGTTAGACATCTCTAGAACCATGGGTTAATAGGAAGACGCCTGTAATTTCATTCCTGTGCGTTATTCTACTCTAAACTTGCACCACCTTTTTGTCCAACATCATTCCATTTGCTGGATCTCTGTTTGGCCCTCCAGATGATACTGTTTTCATAAAGGTGCAATTGCAGCATGCTATTTTGCATAGGAAGTCATTGAGCTGTTGATAAAAATAAAACCTCAATTTAAAAGGCTTGGCCTTTGTGTTTTAATTTTTGTAAACTAAAGAGGCAGACATAAACTGCCAGCATTTATACTCAATGAAGAGAAGGTGTGTTCACAGTTGTTCTTAGTTCCACATTGAGATGCTGGGAAAACAGGGAAAGTGGTATCACATGGAGAGAAATTAGGAGATGGCAAGTAAGGAGAGCCAGGGCATAAGCTCCAAAAGAAAACATTTCCCTGTGAGGGAGAGGGAGAGGGAGGAGGAGAGGAGGAGGGGGGAGGGAGGGGGAGGAGGAGGGGGAGAGGGAAAGGGAGGGGGAGGGGGAAAGGGAGGGAGGGGGAGAGGGAGGGGGAGAGGGAGGGGGAGGGGGAGAGGGAGGGGGAGGAGGAGAGGGAGAGGGGGAGGGGGAGAGGGAGGGGAAGATGGAGAGGGAGAGGGAGGGGAAGATGGAGAGGGAGAGGGAGGGGAAGATGGAGGGGGAGGGGGAGGGGAAGGGGAGGGGAGGGGGAGGGGGAGGAGGAGAAGGGGGCCCTGTGGATGGAGATTGTTTTCTCTGGGGTGTTTTCTCTTTGGCAGCCCCTGTGCTTTCACCACTCCCCTCCCCACCCTGGGGAGGGCTCCCCCAGAGAAAAGCTTCCCTCTGAAGGCGTGGCCGTTGTGAGGAGGGGAGGGAGAGTGGGGGAGGGGGAGAGGGGTATTGGGAGGGAGAGGGGAGCGTGGTGACTGTGATCCCAGGGCAAAGAGGAAACCCGCTGAGGGATCACCACGCACAGAGGTCCCTTCCAGCCCCGCCCACACATGTCAGTCTTTCAGGGAAATGTGAAGGGGAGCTTTCCTGCGGGGCCACTGGCCTGGAGCTGGTGGGAGGTGGGCATTCAGACGCAGTGCATGTCCTTAAGGAGGTAAATCCAGAGCAGAGCGCTGTTTTTCTGGGGTTTGTGTGTGATTCAGTGTTTTCCTGCCTGTGGACAGGCCCGCCAGGTTCCTGGGCCCAGCAGGACCCTGGGGTGTTGTCAGCAGCTCCTCCACCCAGTGCCTGCACATCTCTCCTAAGGCACAGGTGACAGCGGGGAGAGTCCGTGATGCTCTGGCTCAGACATCGATGTGGAGAGCCTCTGAAACCTGGGACTCTGGTGTCTTAGCTGTGGCCGTGCTGGGCCTGCTCAGAGAGGCTGTGAGAACCAACCGTTAACTTTTCAGGATGTTTGCAAGCCGGTCAGTCAGCGACCCTGTGGGAGCATTAGCACCAGGGAAACTGGCAAATTGCAACTCTCCCTCTGCAGAGTTGTTTATTCAACCTTCACCAGCCGCCACTGGATGCCTGTTAAATGTATTACAGTCAGGAAATGTGCACATGTATGTGCACACGCTACAGACACACTCACTCACCAGCCACCATTGGGCATGTGCTATATGTGCGACAGTTAAATGTAGCCCGGCCCATGTGCTCAGTGCTTGAGCATTGACCTATGAACCAGGAGGTCACGGTTTGATCCCACATTGGGCATTGAGCTGTGCCCTGACCTCCTGGTTCATAGGTCAACACAACCACTGAGCCACGCTGGCTGGGCCTCCTGCTTTCATGTTTAATTCTTTCATGAAGTGTTTCCTGGCGCAGCCACTGACCTTCACCATCGTGGCCGCTGCCCGGTGACTGAGGCTCAGAGCTGAGGGGGCACTTGGGGAGCACAGTTCGCGGTGACTGGAGGAGGCAGGTCGCTCGTGCGAGGACCTGGCGCCGGCAGTGCTCCCTCCGTGGATGCTGGCTCTCGGGGAGACTCGCACGATGTCCCCTCAGGTGACGTCGCAGTGAAGTCTTCCCGTGGCCAGTGTCTCGGACGAGATTAGCGACAGCGTTAACCGAAAGGACTCGTTACGTACACCCAGGGCTGCTTTCTCACACTTGGGTTTTCACTCAGAAGTCAAGACGGACTCCGACTGTTAATCCTGTGTTTGTGGAATTTGTCTTCTGGACAAAAATGGTGAGATATTGAAAGTGACGAAGGCCTTTTCAAATGTTACAATGATGATGTCATTGATAAGGACTATTTGGCCAATGTACTATGTGCCTAAGGCATGGGCTGGGGCGGGGGCAGCTGGAAAGGGTCAAGGGGGAGGAAGGGGGACATACGTAACGCTTTCAACAATAATTAAAACAAAGCATCCTATGAACTGTGCATAAAAAGAAAATTCAGTAAATGAAAAAAACCCCAAATGTAAGGATTTGGATCTCTATATAAAGGGCTTTACTAGAGGCCTAGTGCATGAAATTCGTGTCCCTTAGCACAGCCCGCACCCTCTCCAATCTGGGATCCCTCGGACATCCCTCTCACAATCCAGCATTGCTAGCTCCCAACCACTTGCCTGCCTGCCTGCCTGATTGCCCCTAACCGCTTCTGTCTGCCAGCCTGATTGATGCCTAACTGCTCCCCTACTGGCACGGTCACTCCTAAGGGCCGCCCCCTGCCGGCCTGGTTGCCCCTAACTGCTGGCCCAGTAACCCCTAATTGCCCTCCCCTCCAGGCCTGGTCCCCTGCAACTGCCCTCCCCTGCTGGCCTGTGTGTTTTATTACATCGGGCCAAATAGTCATAAGTTGCCCCTAACTGCCCTCCTCTGCTGGCCATCTTGTGTGAGGGTGTGACTGTTAATTTGCATATCACTTTATTAGGTAGGGCTTTGTGTTTCATTGCATACAGTCATTTACAGTCAGCTCTCCGCACGTGCCAGGCAGGGGGTGGCCTAGTGTGTGGGCACGTCCAGGAGGGCCCAGGCCGTGTCCACTGAGCATCCGGACCTGAACACGCGGGGACTGCCCTGTGCAGCTCCGTGTGGCCCCGGGGCTGAGTGTGCGCCAGGGATTCCTCGGACGCCCCGTTTGGGGCCGTGGCTGCTGCGGGGCGCACCGCCCGCGGAGCCGGACTCTGTCTGACGGCGTGGCTCAGAGGTCCTCCCTCTTCCGGACGATCATCTGCCGGATCAGATCGGCCACCTCAGGCCGGATGGCGTCCACCGGCTCCTCGGGCCGCCAGGACCTCACCACGTGGCCCTCGGGGCTGACCAGGTACTTCCAGAAGTTCCACCGCGGCTCCTTGTTGGAAGAGTCTGGAAGGACAGAGGCAGGTCTGTGAGGACTCTCCGTTCTGGGGGGGCTGCCACGGGACAGCTAGAAGCACCGTCCGGGTCGCCACCTCGTCGCAAACGGAGGCCAAGCGCCCGGAGCCGGCGCGGCCCAGCGGCCAGCTCCCCGCACAGCGGCCACCCGCCGGCCCCAGCCACTGACTACCAGCTCTGCTGCTCTGAACAAACAACTGCCCATCACCAGCGCAAACCTCCCAGCTTCTTAACATTTAGAAGATAAAGCGATACTTTACAAGTCCTTTGTAAGGGAATGTGTACAGTTCTTATTAAATATGGTTCTCGTGTCGTTACCTGTTACGTAGCTGAAAATGGGAGACATTTAAAATAATCGCATCTGAGAAATCGTGATGGCCCTCTGATGCATCGTAATTTACATAAGTGTGGCTGTCTTTCCTTATGTCACCGGCTTCATGCACATTCTGACAGGCTGGTGAGGAGAAACGCAGCTGGGATTTACCCAGGGCCCACTGTGTGCTCTCTCCCGCAGCCCTGGGCAGGGGCGTCTGGGAGGGGTGGTGTTCTCCCCGTTTTGCAGATGAGAAAGTGGAGGTCCCCGCGCAGGTGTCATGGCCAGGGAGCGGGCAGCCCGGAGCGCGGGGTCTGGTGCCGGGGGAGATGGCTGTTCTTCCCTGTGCCTCTGTGCCATGGGCCTGGGTGTGGGGCTGACACCCATGGGAGGAGGAGCTGGTCTGAGGCTTCGGGAGGAGGCAGACCTGACCAGGAGGGGGCGGAGCAGGAGGAGCCCCAGCATCAGCAGAGAGAGGGGGGTGGGAAGGAGGATGCTGTGGGGGGGAAAGGGGAGGTGGAGGGAGTGCAGGTTCCGGGACCACCTGGTCAGGAGGGTGTGACAGAGCCTGTGGCAGCCAGCGAGGAGGGAAGTGGAGAGCCAGAGGCGGAGAAGTGGGCTGGCTGTCCTCAGAAACGGAGGAGGAGGAGGAGGAGGGAAGGGGGAGGAGGAGGAGGAGGAGGAGGAGGAGGAGGAGGAGGAGGAGGAGGGAAGGGGGAGGAGGAGGAGGCGGGGCGCAGTGTTCAGAGGCGGAGGTGCTGGTGCGGAGGAGCAGCCAGGGCGGAGGTGCTGGTGCGGAGGAGCAGCCAGGGCGCCCGAGGGACGGGGGTACAGCGTGGCCCAGTGACCGGCCGGGGACAGGCCGGCAGCCTCGTTAGATGAGGGGTCAGCATGAAGGTCCTGAGGCGGCGGGCAGGAGACACGCCCTTCACTCTCACGCTAACCCATCTCCCCAACGCCTTAGGGGTGGACACACTGCCGTCGCATTGTACAAACGAGACAGGCCCAGAGAGGGTCAGCGATGTGCCTGAGCCACACAGCGAAGGGCAGGGCCGGCTCGGGGCCACAGCCTGTGCCTCAGTCACCCCCTCACTGCCTCCCTGCTCCCCTAGATGCTGCAGCGACAGCCCAGCTCCGCTTCCTCCCAAAAGTGTTACATTCTGCTCTGAATTTTAGCAAAAACCCGGTAACGGGAGTGTTATTCCTCCTTGAGGACATGCAGTCCAGCGAGGACGTGAGTGACCGACGGGGGCGCTCTGCACTGCTCACCAGGAGAGCGTTAACCAGGGGTGGGGCCCCATCAGAGGCGAGGGGACTCCGAGCACACAGCTGTGGCCACTTCGCAAGCAACGTTTTCAGTAAAACCATCATAAGGAAGCCCTGACCGGTGTGGCTCAGTGGATAGAGCGTCCACCTACAGACTGAAGGGTCCCAGGTTCGATTCTGGTCAAGGGCATGTACCTTGGTTGCGGGCACATCCCCAGTAGGAGGTGTGCAGGAGGCAGCTGATCGATGTTTCTCTCTCATTGATGTTTTTAGCTCTCTATCCCTCTCCCTTCCTCTCTGTAAAAAAACCAATAAAATATATTTAAAAAAAAAAAGATGAGGGGAATCTGTGGCCACTGTGGCCACTTCGCAAACAACATTTCAGTGAAACGATGGTAAGGATACGGCACAGGGGGTGGCTCTGCTTTGTCATCCAAGACGTCCACACACTGGTTTCGGGGAGCATGGCTTGTAGAAAGGATGAGACCCTGGCTCTGATGGGCCGATGAGACGTCCCCTCGAAGGCTTTTGGAATGAGAGAGGAGCGTGGGGCCCTGCTTCAGGGATGGACGCCAGGAGCACCTTCCCGGGGGCGGAGGGGGACACTCACCCACCAGAAACCGGAAGGCGGGCTCGGCCTCGGGCCCCAGGATCTTGATCTTGTGGAAGATGGGGAAGGTGACCCCGTAGGTGCTCCGGGCGAAGGACACCACCTCCCGGCTGGGGCGGGGCTCGGCCTCGCCGAACTGGTTGCAGGGGAAGGCCAGCACGCTGAAGTGGAAGGGCCCGAACTCGCGCTGCAGTGCCTGCAGGCCCGCGTAGTTGCTGTCGGTGAGCCGGCAGTCGCTGGCCACGTTGGCCACGAGCGTGACCTCCGGGAAAGAGACGGCGACAGAGTGAGGCAGGGCGGGTCAGAGCGGCTCTGCCGGCAGCTGACCTCCCCGGGACACCATCACCCTAACATGACGGGAGACCCCGGCGGATCCCCCCTCCAACCGCCCCCACCTCCGCCCCTCACCCCCGCCAAGCATGCTGCTCAGAGGCTGCTTTTAAGAAAGATGGTCGTTGGTAGATGCGTCTCATGTGGCGTCTCCACAGTCACATCCCAGTTACAAGGCCGTCCTAACAGTCTAACAGCCACAGGGAGAGCGTTTTAGGAAGACAGTTAAGACGGAGAGTTGAGAAGCAGGTGAGCCAGAGGACCCCTGACATCACTCTGTTAGAAACGACAGCTCCGGCCACGGGGGCTGCCTGCAGGGAGCGGGGACACGTGGCACCGCGGAGCCGCCCGGCCGGGAGACTCACTTTGCCTCTGAACTTCTCCAGGGAGACGGGCCGGCCCGCGGCGTCCCTCACCTCGAAGGCGTAGAAGCTGCGGGCGCGGGGCGGGCGGGCGCTCAGCTGCAGCAGCAGCAGCGTGCCCGCGCCCAGCGCCAGCGCCAGCAGCACGGCCAGCACCTTGGCCCGCGGCCCCGAGCGCAGCCGCGGCGCCAGAGGCTCCGGAGGCTCCATCTTGGAGGCGGGAGGGAGGGGAGGCGGACGGCCTCCGGGAGGAGCTGAAACGCGAAACCCCGAGCCGGTTCGAGGGAAACCCGGAAGGCCCGGCGCCTGTCCCGCCTCCGGAGGGGGGGCCTCAGGCCTGGCGGCTGGCAGGGCTCTGTGGTGGGTTTGAGCTTCTGCAGGAAGTCAGGATGTGTTTGGTAGCTCCACACTCTCCCACAAACACATTATTTCCCCGGCAGATGGCGCCCTTGTCCCTGGGAGGCGGCGCCCAGCAAGGGGTTAGCTCAGGGGCGGGGGACCCAGAGCACAGGCTGTGGGGGACCTGCAGGGCGTGCGTGTGATGTGATGGGTGTCACACACACACACACACACACACACACACACACACACACTGTGAGTTCAGGAATTGGTGGTAAAACATCTGAACGGCCCCTGACTCCGACCTCGCCCAGCCAAGGCAATGCCAGGTGACGATACAGAAATAAACCGGTGGTAAACAGCGATGGTTAAGGAGCCCTCCTCTGTCGTCAGGGACACAGCAGTATTTCTGGTCATGACTGACAGCAGGAAATGAACTTGCCATCGAGCAGATGAGGGTTCCAGGGAGGGTACTTCCCAGCCAGGTGCATCTACAACACTTAGTTCTTCTTCTTCTTCTTTTTTTTTTTAATATTTTTTTTATTGATTTTTTACAGAGAGGAAGGGAGAGAGATAGAGAGTTAGAAACATCGATGAGAAAGAGTCATCAATCAGCTGCCTCTTGCACACCCCCTACTGGGGATGTGCCCACAACTAAGGTACATGCCCTTGACCGGATTCGAACCCGGGACCTTTCAGTCTGCAGGACGGCGCTCTATCCACTGAGCCAAACCGGTTTCGGCTTTTTTTTTTTTTTTTTAATATATATATTTTATTGTTTTTTTACAGAGAGGAAGGGAGAGGGATGCAGAGTTAGAAACATTGATGAGAGAGAAACATCAATCAGCCACCTCCTGCACACACCCCCACTGGGGATGTGCCTGCAACCAAGGTACATGCCCTCGACCAGAATCGAACCCGGGACCCTTCAGTCCGAGGGCTGACGCTCTATCCACTGGGCCACACCGGTTACAGCTAAAACACTTAGTTCTGAAGATGGTTCCTTGTTTCACCAACAGGCTGCGACCTATCGATGAAGCACTGGGCTCTGAGAGAAAGCAGGGTGTCCTCCACGCCCAGGTCCAGGCGCCCCGCTGGGCTGCTGTTTCAAATGGCCGAGGCCTTCTAGTGACACCCCATTTTTGGACTGGACTCCGGATTCTCTGGCCGCCGGGATCAAAGAATGAGTCCACGGACAGAAAAGTGCTCTAGCAAAGGTGAAGATTTATGGAAGAACAAGTACAGACTCCGCGTGGGGAGGAGGAGAAGGGTCCCACAGAATGGACTCCACTGGGTTCCCTCTCCCCATGGCTTAGAAAGGCTACAGAACTTGGTGCCTTGATAGCCCCTCTGATTGGTCACGATTCCCTTAGTCTGGTTACTATAGCAACTCCTGGGCTCAAAGGTTGACCCTCACATGGGACATGAGAGCTTCTCCCCGCTCCTTCCTTCTGAGTGATGCACCTACCTATAGGGTTTAAGTTTAAAAAGTGTGGCTCTCCAAACGAATGTCCATCGTTGTGCTGTTGATATTCGGCTCTGCTGACTAATGAGTTTGCCGACCACAGTCTGTCCCACTGAGCAGTTCCCTCATCTCTGCCAACGCCCGCCCCCCGCCCCCGCCCCCCGTTGGTTCCTACAGTTGCTGGCGAGCCTCAATGTTGGATGGTGCCGGTCCCTCAGCTTGGCTCTTCTCACCCTGGGCTGTGTTCACTACTCTGGGGCTTTTGCCCTCCAGATAAACTTCAGAATCTGTTTGTCAGTATTTTTTTAAAAAAACAACTTACCGGGATTGCACTGAGTCTTTAAATCGACTTGGAAAGAACTGACATCGTAACGGTACCGAATCTTCTTACCTGTGCACGTGGACGATCCGTTTACCGGATTTTCTTTGCTGGGAGTTCTGTAATTTTCCTCATACAATCATTGCACACGTTCTGTTAGATTTCCACCTGCGTGTTCCGTGCAAGGAGGACTTTTCAGGTCGACTCTCTCAACAGCTTTCAAGCATGCACCAAGGTGTAACACCCGCATGCCTTCCATTTCTCACCGGAAGCTCCCCTGGCGTTCTGTGGAGCCGTTCGGCAGCGCCTGGTGCTGGAGCAGCTGCCTCCGCTGCCTCTGCCTCGCCCGCAGCTGCTGGTGCCGCCGAGGCCGCCCCCGGCGGAGCATCGCGGGGTCCGTTTGCTCAGCTGCGGCCCTGGGACTGCGGGCGCCGGGGTGGCTCAGTTCCTGTTGAGCGTGTCACTCTCAGCTTGAGAGACGAGAAGGCTGTGGCCTGCGGTCTGCCTTCCGTGGGTGTTTTGATGAGAATTGAAACGGAACATCAGATGCAGTCCCAACCTCAGAGGGTCCCGGGGAACTGCCCGCCGAGAGCAGCTGTGTGTGCTCGGCCGGACGCCGAGGAGCAGGGCCCAGGCGAGGGGCCGTGTCTGCGGGCCGAGCTGAGCCGGGCGCAGGCCCCGGTGGTGCTGGTGGGACGGGCAGAACGGCAGACATGTCTTCGGCATCACAATCTCCTGTGACAGGAGGAATGCTCACGCGTGAGGCGGCGTCTCCGTGTCTGCCCACAAGATCCACCGCTCCCTTCGGCCGGCACCGTGTGCTCCGTGTGAGGCAGTGCATCGGCCTTCTGGGACGGAGGGGTGCAAGCCTGTGGTCGGCAAACTGCGGCTCTCGAGCCACAGGCGGCTCTTTGGCCCCTTGAGTGTGGTTCTTCCACGAAACACCACGGCCTGGGCGAGTCTGTGTTGAAGAAGTGGTGTTAGAGGAAGTTTAAGTTTAGAAAATGTGGCTCTCCAAAGGAATGTCAGTTGTGGTCCTGTTGGTATTGGCTCTGTGGATGAATGAGTTGGCCGACCGCTGGTGTAAGCTCACACGGGCTCTGTTCTCCCTCTGCACCTGAGCTTGTGTCTCAGCGTGACGGCCAGTCTCTCCCCTTCATTGTTCCCATCACCTGAGGGGTCAGCGGGCCTCCGGGACCCCGAGGGCCGACGTGGGCTCAGGGACGAAGCCTGGTCCCCGCCCTGTGGGATCCGTGTTCCCGGCCGCCAGGCTGCCCCCGCCGTGCGGGATCCGTGTTCCCGGCCGCCAGGCTGCCCCCGCTGTGTGGGGTCCGTGTTCCCGGCCGCCAGGCCGTCCCCGCCGTGTGGATCTGTGTTCCCGGCCGCCAGGCCGTCCGTGAGCCGTGCGGGGTCCGTGTTCCCTGGCTCCCAGGCCTTCCCCGCCATGCGGGATCCGTGTTCCCCGGCCGCTAGCCATGTCATCCCCGCCGTGCAGGGTCCGTGTTCCCCGGCACCCAGGTCCTCCCTGCCGTGCGGGATCCGTGTTCCCCGGCCGCCGGGTCATCCGTGAGCGGATGACGGTGCAGCCGGGACGGAACGTTGGAACAACAATGTGTCCCGTGCTCTGGCCTTCAGGTGCCGTTTGGTGTTGGAAGAACCAGATGGGCCGTGGCTCCTGGCCGCACGGTGTTCCCCTCCCCGCCCGGGGTCCATGCGGCCCGCAGCTCCTGTGCCCGGTGCACGCTCAGGAGGTCCTGGGCTGCTGCTGGGGCGGGAGAAACACACATTTGTCTTACGTTCTCGGGAACACCTGCACGAGGGCGGCCTGCTCGGAGGCACTTACTGTACACGTGGACTAGTCGAGTCGGTCATACATGTGTCACGTGGAAGAGGAGTGTGGCTCCCGGGGCCGACCCGGAGCCTGAGGCCACAGGTCAAGGGCGGCCTGAGCTGCAGGAGCCCAAGGGGCAGGGGCAGGGCCTGGACCCCCGAGGAAGGCCCTGCTGGACGGACTTCTGGAGGGAGGACATGCCTGCTGCTGAGGCCGCGGCGGGCGCGGGGCGGCAGCCTCAGGACACGGTGTGAGTGCCGGGAGCCGGCCGCCGTCTCACTAACAGAGAGATGTGGACCGGAAGCCGGGAGGCTGCTCTCACCACTCGCCGCTTAGCTGAGACAGGGTTAGCGGAAGGGCCTCCACCTGTTTGCCTCCGGTAAATTCCTGTTATTGGAGTTTCCTGCCTGTACATCCACAGTCTCAACAGAAAGGAACAGCAAGGCCCGAGCGGGGCGTAGTCCCCTCTTGGGCTCCAGCCTGGCCCCAATGTTCCCAAATTAACACTTTCCTAGTCTCGTTCATTGTGGCCTTCTCCAGGACCCGAACCCTGAACCCCAACCCTGAACCACGAGGGGCGTGAAAGGGGCTCCCACATGTGAGGGGGCAGGCGCCCCCTTAGCGCCGGCCACACTGCCGGCCCCGCGGCTCAGCCCCGGAGGAGGCTGGCTCTGAGGGCGGTTCCCCCGGCCCTGGGCTGGGGGACCCGGGGCCACACCTGGCGGGCGGCTTCCCAGCCTCAGCACCAGCAGGACAGCGGCCACCACTGCCTCCTCCCCACCCGCCACCCCACTGAGCCCAGTCACCCGCAGGCTGAGCCCGGACACCCACAGGCTGAGCCCGGACACCCGCAGGCTGAGCCCGGACACCCCCAGGCTGAGCCTGGTCACCTGCAGGCTGAGCCCGGACACCCACGGGCGCTGCCACAGAGGATGGCCCGGCCTGTGGGGGGTGCTGCTGCTACCCTGGCCCTGAGTGTCCGTGCCCTCGTCTGAGCGACGGTGCTGTGTGCCAGTCTCCTGCAGGGGGTGCTGAGGTCCAGCTGGACGAGGGGCCTTCCTGAGGGGGGCCCTGAGCTTCTCACTCAGGGGGGGGGGCTTGCTTCCCCTGCGGCTGCCCCACACCCTTCTCTGACCCTTCGTCTCCTCTCTCTCCTCCTCCTCCCCATCCTCCCCTCCTTCTCTTCTTCCTCCCCCTCCTCCTCCTTCTCCCCTTCTTCCTTGTCCTCCTTCCTCTCCTGGGCCCTCCATCTCCTCTCTCTGCTACTCCTCCTCCTCCTTCTCCTCCTTCCTCTCCTGGCCCCTCCATCTCCTCTCTCTGCTACTCCTCCTCCTCTTCCTCCTCCCTCTCCTCCTCCTCCTCTTCCTCCCCCTCCTCCTTGTCCTCCTTCCTCTCCTGGCCCCTCCGTCTCCTCCTCCCACTCAGCACCGGT